AAGCATAAGCCAATACTAAATCAAGCAATAATACTGTGTGCCACATTATGATTTTGCACTGCATGCAGAATTTAGCACAAAAGGGCATCACTAATTTGCTCCAACCCAATGGTTATGTGCGTGCTTTTATTAGGCATCGAAAATCAATCGAACTACTTGCGTGCCACTCGTATATTGATCAGCGGCTAAACTGTTCGATAAAATGCTTGACTTGAAAATCTGAATAGAAATGTGTCAGTTGCTTCTCAATGAAGGAACTGATTTACTTTGTTTTCAACAAACGGAAACAAATTAGAATCACAGCTTGATCAGCAATCCATGTGCCAATTCTGATATATGCTAGCGCTGCAACTTACGTACGTAGTGAAGTCCCGGGTTCTGGAATCTCAAGTAATTAACGAATCAAATGATCAATGCATGAAATTCTCATGAATGTTTGTATATTCTAATTGCTTCACGTGAACACGGCTAAACTACTTTAGCAAAAATTAGAAAGTTTTTTATATAAAGTTCAGTAGAAATAATTAGAAAACAATTTTAAAAATTAACAAAGGCCTAAAACTAAAAATTATAAAATAAAATACAAAATTTTTATCTTCAAATTTTCTCGTGATCTCTTATAATATCTCATCTATATCATCAATCCTTTTCAACTCGGCTGAATATTACAAAACCTAAACATTTCTTCTTTTGAGTGGAGTCAACTAAATTTAAACACTCATAAGAATCTTTTTCCAGCTCTCTTAAAAATTGAAGGTAGGTTTGAAAACTCTGAAAGTTGATCGAGAGACATTTCATTGTNTCAATGAAGGAACTGATTTACTTTGTTTTCAACAAACGGAAACAAATTAGAATCACAGCTTGATCAGCAATCCATGTGCCAATTCTGATATATGCTAGCGCTGCAACTTACGTACGTAGTGAAGTCCCGGGTTCTGGAATCTCAAGTAATTAACGAATCAAATGATCAATGCATGAAATTCTCATGAATGTTTGTATATTCTAATTGCTTCACGTGAACACGGCTAAACTACTTTAGCAAAAATTAGAAAGTTTTTTATATAAAGTTCAGTAGAAATAATTAGAAAACAATTTTAAAAATTAACAAAGGCCTAAAACTAAAAATTATAAAATAAAATACAAAATTTTTATCTTCAAATTTTCTCGTGATCTCTTATAATATCTCATCTATATCATCAATCCTTTTCAACTCGGCTGAATATTACAAAACCTAAACATTTCTTCTTTTGAGTGGAGTCAACTAAATTTAAACACTCATAAGAATCTTTTTCCAGCTCTCTTAAAAATTGAAGGTAGGTTTGAAAACTCTGAAAGTTGATCGAGAGACATTTCATTGTGGACAAACTAACATTTGAAAAAAGAGTTAAAAATTTAAGTTGAATTGGAAGTTTTACATTGATAAGTAAAAGAACTTAAAAACCTATTATATTAATACTTTTGGTTGAAAGTGATATCTTTGTTCTTTTGTATGAATTTGTTCACAACTCATTAATGTTTTATCTCTTCTTAAAAAAATCTAGCAAAATATTTTTTGCATTATTATAAAGAAGTTTACCAAAAAAGTAAGAAAAGAAATAAGATATTATTTGCTCCTTCTCCTTCTTACATTTGCTATGTGACTGATGACATTTTAGTGCATCTCATGTAATATAATTTAATATAGGCTTAATACTTATTTTGGTCTCTTTGTTTAGTCAAAGTGTTCAAAGAAGTCTTATCCTTTTTCAGATGTTCACAGTTGTCTCATATTTTGTAAAAACGGTTCAAATTGGTCATTTTTTCTTACGACGTTAAAATCGCTAATGGTAGAATTGTCATCCTAACAAAAAGTGAATGAGTTGTCTAGTTAGGGATTGTGTGACAAGCTTAACCAATGAGGGACTGTCACATGGCAGTCCCCTTCGCACCCAAATTAGGATACACAATTGCAGAATGGTGCTTGCAGCACGAGAAACACTCTCTCTTCTTGAACCAGGGTTTTCAACCCTTATCTACAACGACAAGTGGTTCTTCCATTACATGGAGAAGCTCGCGATGATGTGATTAGAGGGGATTTCTATGTTGTGGTTCATTCTCTGTTTGTAGGTCTAGAGATTGATACATATGATGTCTGCATTTTTTCTACGATGAAGAAGATAATGTTGCGAAGAAGGAGATCTTTATTGACCATGGTTGTTCGCGAGAACACGATATGGGTTCTTTGAGTTTGTTGAGAAGACTAAGACGGAGAAGAATTGTTTGTCGTTGTAGCCGATTTAGGTTAGTGTTTTCGGAATATAGAAATTTGGTAATCTTTAAATAGTGGAAGGTAAACCCAAAGGAAATTTTTAGTCTAGTCATGGCATGGTGACACGGGTAATGTGAAAACCACCGTTTGGAACCCTTAAATGAATCCAATTGGAATCAAGAACATGATGATGATCTTTGGATATGTTGGGTTTATTTTTTCTAGTATAACTCTGTCATCTTTGTGCTTTGAATATATATGTGATTATGTATTGTATTGAAGGTGGGCAATGACTTGAAATTTCTTTGTTGGGTTACTTTCCATTTGTTTAGAGGTGATCAAAGAGTGTGGAATAAGTTGATATTTTGAATTAATTAGTTGAACTCAACTAATGGGTTAGTTAGATACACTTTAGCCCAATAAGAATGTCAAATAGAAGGAATTTAGGTGGAGTGTCCAAATCAATATCTGCTGTAATATAACTAGGGTTAAGTAAACTTATGTGGAGAAAATGGTGCAATTTCCAACCGACATTACAATGAACTTATTATTAGTTAATAGAAGTTGCTTTCAAATACTCAAGTTTTATTATTACTTTACACAACTTACACGTCCCACTTAATTCAACATTTGATATATTACTTTATAGGGCACAGAAAACAACATATAAAAGGAAGTCAAAATACCTCCAAAATTAATTTAATTAAACATCTTCCATTTAAGGACCAACCTCTTCATTCAAATAAAGGACATTTTGCTACCTCATAAAATGAAAAAGATCCTTTACTTTTCGGATGCGTCAAGAGTGCAAATTTGACATGGTGAACGAACTAATTAAAACACATTAATGGTTAATTTAAGTTAGTAACTGTGTAAAAAAAAGTCAGTCATTTAATTAATAGTGTTAAATTTGTTTGTAATTATACTTTCTCTTTTCAAAATTACTCTTAAATGATTAATATATGGAGACAAAAATGCAATTAGGAAATTTTACTTTTAAAATCTCCTATTTTCACAAGAAAGATGAATAAAAATTCATAACAATTATATTTACAAACTAAAACAATTTAGTAAAAACTAATTAATATTAAGGACAATTAGAATTCTCTTATAGGAAAAAAAAAATCAAAACTGTATCTTATTATTAGAGAGAGAGAGAGAGAGTATTTTCTGAGCCCGCCCTTAAGTTAAAAGCAATAACAATTTGCTAATTGTTGTTAAGTATACTTCTAAGAGATTAATTCTTTAAGTATATGATTAAGTTGCATGCATATTTGTAGGGCTCATAAAGTTGTATCTTAAAAGGGGAAGTTGAAAATTCACTAGTATATTAGAGGGATCATGACGAACTAAATCATGATTATTATTCGTATATGTGTGAATATACGAAATTGTGATTGTCAAATCAAATGCATAGCTAAAAAGTTGAATCTATAGATAATAAAGGAAGTGAAGGATACATGCATCATTAAAATTTACAAAGAAAGAACATCATGGAATGTCCATATAATTTAATTGAAATATTAATTACACTATGAACAAGAAAAAGTCATCAAAGATAAGATTAGGTATTTGTCGGAACCCTTCTTATCCTACTTGTTTAATCTCTTTTCCTCCCCTTTTTATTAAATTATTGTAGGAATCTCCATGGAAATGTTAAGCATGATGATATATGGGTTGCTTCGTCCTCTTCACCCTCCTACTTTTTTTTTTAAGTTTGAAATAACTACCATTGAAGGAAGTATGTAACAACTGTACTATCACTACAACAACCTATATGCATTGTATGTGAGAACAAAAATATTACTTCTATGCAACACTTCTAATTCTCGTATATTTCACGTTATTCACGTGCTTTCTTAAATAATTATATAAGCATATTTTTATATTAACATACTTTTTGGATATAATCAAGGTGGAGGAGATTTTTTATATAACAGCGAGTTTCTTTTTTTAATGTAATGAACGGTGTAACATTTGTTATACTAGTTTATAAAATGTATCTTAGTTGTATATAGTTGAATATTTCTTCAATTTTATGATTTAACTATACATATCGCGTTAAAACTAAATAAATTGGTGGTTGGGTTTGGGTTTAAAAAATTATTCCAATGAAAAGCTCCATTTTTGGTCCTTATTTTAGTTTAGGATTAATGTTGTTAATAATATTAAGACAATAATGATCAAAGGCGTCACAAAATAATACGTAGTGATTAACGTAGTTACGATTTTATCGTCGTATAAAGTGTAGTTCTACAGAGTATTATAATAGTTTAGTGTGAAAAAAGACATGAAAATTATATTTTTATTGAAATTGCGTTATTAAAAATAGGCGTAAAAAATATTATAATAGACCCTTTAATAATGGCTATATGACTAAGCTGCGACGAAGCAACACGACTTCAAGCATCCAACCACAATGTTACCTTATCTCGCTCGCGCCACCCAAAAAGAAAATATAATTAATTATTTTGAATCAGCAATCCAATAAGTTTATATATTTATTTATTTTATTATTATTATTATTATCATTATTATTATAATAAAATCACACTTTGAGAAGGAAAATTTAAGCTTGCACGCATCTAAATCCGAAGCAGCAAGAAAAGAAAAGAAATAAAAAAATATTAAATCCAATGGGTTGGTTTCCACTACTCTGAATGAATAATTCAGTAGTAACAGTGTCAGCAGAGGAGGGTGGCTATAACACATTGACCAAATAATGAACATAAATATAAAATATTTAGTCAACATTACGCACCACATGGATGTTTTGGTTCAAACTAAGCATATATGAGTAAGCTCAAAAATCAAGATCATTGTTCAGTGGTGATCCTCTTCTGAATTCTTTCTGCACTTTCAAGACATCAAGCATAGCATAACCTTTGTTTCTTGTCAGTACTCAAACTCACTGAAATCCAAGTCAGAGTCAAGTCTCACTTCCCAAAGTTCTTCACCCTTTTGGCCTTTTCTCATTTGGAAATGGTTGAGCTCAACACCACCAAGATGAAAACGTGGATGTTTTCACACTGATCTTCCACCCCTTTAACCCTTTCAACCCTTTTCCCTTGCCTAATGGAAGTTATGTCCAACACCATCACCAAACAGACCACAGTAACACCTTCTCAAGGCACCATCCACTTCCAAAAGCTTTCTTTCTGGTTTGCTCCTCGAACTCGTCCACCCGGTTAACTTCTTTCTTCTCTTTCTCTTGTGCCTCCACTCCCCTAAAAAGGGTTTTAACAAAAACGGCTCATGATCACAGTTTTGGTCCAAAAATCAAGCTTTTTAGAGTTTCCCTGATCGTAATTTTCCTAACCACTGCAATTCTATCTGCATAGACTGTGTTTGTCTGCAATTTAAAACCTTTAATATTATGGTTCACTCCTTCTATGAGAAAAGCTCTCCTTCTGGCTCTGATATTTCGGGGTTGTTCAATCCCACTTTGCAAAGTGTTGGAGCTTCCAATGGTGAAGTTGCGAAGGGTGGCTTGTCATCGTCACATTCTTTAGTTTATGAGAGTGAGAAGGGAGAGCTGGTGAAGTGCTCTTCAGCTGCAAAGGTAGGGAAGAATGAGATTTGTGAAGCCAAAGCTTTGGCTGCTTTGAAGAATCACAGTGAAGCAGAGAGAAGAAGGAGGGAGAGAATAAACGGTCATCTTGCAACACTACGTGGCCTTGTACCATCCACTGAAAAGGTATGTTTTTGTTCCTTCCTTTTCCTACTGTTGGAAATTTGTTCTTTTATTGTGCATGCCTTATTACATCACTGAATTATTTCGGCTCCTTACTTTCCTGATTTCACTTTGATTCTATAATTGGACAGCGACTGATTCAGAAATTTTAAGTGAGAGGACTGTAATCATATATATAAATTTGTGGGGACAATACAATACTCACTTTTCTGTGCTAAATGTGGGGCAATATTTCACTGCATTCAAATTTAGGACGAGATTTGTTATTATACATGTATATTGGGAACCTTAGTTAATCTAAGTAAGACTTTTTTAAAATTGCCCTACTTATGCTAAAAATGGATTTAATCATATAGCATTTCTAAATTTTTCTATCTAGCCAGTTCTTTCATAAGAACAGTGACAAGTTTCAATGAAACACGTATTCTGTTGGTGATATGAAAAAGGAATAACAGATTTGATAGAAGGATGAAGCAGGGTGAAAAACCATTATGCAGACTTCGTGTTACGTTGAATCAGTTTAAGTTGAAGGAAGATGGAAATGCAAACTATTCTACCGGGGAGAGTTGAAAATAAAAAATTAGAGCAAGAAAACATATTTTGAGTTATCAATGAGCTACTTGACAAAAACAAAATACTGACTTTTGACACATTAGGACAGTTTTAAACACAAAGCTCGCTTATGGTAATTTTATTTTCAGTTATGTCATAATGCTTGTGGCTGTGAATGCACGTTTCCCTTTCGGGCTCCATGTTAATTTTGGAAATAGAATGGAGCTCAGAGTCTGCTGTATATAAGCACCACAAGTTGAGATTTGAAGCACATTATTGTAATTAAATAAAGGGCTTTTGATTGCATCATAGTTGTCCTTATGTGGTCAACTAGGTGTATGGTAGTTGCTCCTTGCTAGAGTCAACTACCAATATGCATCAGTTGATTATGTAATGTGGAGTTATTTATTATGAATCCTCACTTATTATACTTCATGTTATAATATATTGTTTTAGGATTTCATATTCTATACTTCTAAACCGAAAACCCTTCATTTATTATTCTATAAGTTATGCACATGCAAACCAGATGTTTCCTCTCTGTGCACCATGTCATTAGGTGAGTATTACTGCTGTAGATTATTGTTCATTTACTTGTGCTAGGTGCCCAAATATAGCTTCTGATATTAATACTACTTTATTTGTTAAAAGGTTACTGGTTTAGTTGGATTGCCACTTTTTTCTGGGTTTTTCCTTTAACAAGTCATATGAATCAAATTATAAAACATTAAACACAGTAGAATGTCAATTTTGACCAAGTATTTTAATTTGATGGTCCTTATCAAAGGAAAAAAAATAAAGGAGCATAAATGTCATCTCTCAATCAGATTGATAGGATATTCCTATCAAGTGTTGTCGTAGACGTGCCAGCTGTTCTTCTGGGTGTCATATGGCAGAGTCAGTGTATTTAAATATTAAGCGATAGTTTGTGTTTTGCATGTTTTGTCTTGTATTGTTGAACAGACATATTCTTTTTGTTGGCTAACTGATAATGGTGACGAAGGACATGGAGGGAAAACTATCATATGTTTTTTAAGCATTGGTTAACCAAAACTAAAGAGTAGTTAGAGACTTAGTTTAATCAAATACCATAATTAGTATAATTACTGGATTTGGCTTCATTTGTAATGAAGTTATCATACTTATTCAAGCCACCATCACCACAGTATCAATCAACTTGAGTTATCACTTATCACTCTAATTGGCTTAAGCTGAAGTCATGTTGATAGGTACGAGAGGTGATAATGAAAACAATAATGGTAGTAATTAATCCATGAGGTCACTGTCCCAGTCATAAAAAAACAGTAGCACTGTTTTTATTTTTTTATTGTCTGACTAGAAATATTATTGTACTTTTTATTTCTGATCATACTCTCTTTGCTTTAGTAAAACATTTGTTAAAATCTGTTGATTTTGATTTTGTGGGTCAATGGTTATTCCTTAGATGGATAAAGCCACTTTATTGGCTGAAGTGATAAAGCAAGTGAAGGAATTGAAAAAAACTGCAGTAGAAGCAAGCAAGGGTTTTCCAATCCCAATGGATGCTGATGAAGTGAAAGTTGAACCATGTGAAGGATCCATGTCTTACAGTGCAAATATTTGCTGTGATTTTCGACCTGAAATAATATCTGACCTAAGACAAACCCTTGATTCTCTTCCACTGCATCTAGAGAAGGCAGAAATTTCAACTTTGGCAGGAAGAATGAAGAATGTATTCGTCTTCACATGTTGCAAAGGGAACATTGATATTCATACTGAAGCATGCCAAGCTCTTGCAAGAACTGTTCATCAGGCCCTGTGTTCTGTACTGGAAAAGGCTTCTGCCTCACTTGAGTTCTCACCCAGAACATCTCATGCTAACAAGAGGAGAAGACTGTGCTTTATTGAAACATCCACTTCCTCATGCAACCATGGATCTTGTTCGTGTTGATGTCAACAATTTCATGTGTTATGTTCTTTATTTCATGTGTTACAAAGTGTGGCATTAGTAGCATCACACTTCACTGTATGTTGTCAAACATATTTTCTATTACTGGGTCAATCTCATTAAGTGATAAATGAGATTCATTAAATAAGATGTTATACCATCATGAAAATCGCGTTTATCCAATAATAGAAATTGTGTTATAGAGTTTATAAGAAAATGTATTATTAATATCTATCTGTTGTTCAAAGCTGGATTTGTCTTTTATTATGCAGGCAAATTATACTATTTTTGGAATATTGCCCCTTTTTCAAGTGTTCCGAAGGATTATCCAAAAATGACAATAATTATACCAAATTTAAAAAGGAAAATGTTTCTTTAACAATTCATTTTTGCCAACTTTTTTACAACGCTAAGTGTCAGCATTTGATTGGTCTATTTCAAATAATATTTTCATAAATGAAATGTTATGCAGATGGTGTTTTAGGAACGAGAAAAGGGATTCATCTTCTTCCTTTCATGAACTTGAAATCTCTCTATCTCAAGGCTTTCTCTCATGTTGTCTCTTGGTTGCTCGTCGTTCTCACCGACCACCGTGACCTCTCCCAACGTTGCTCCACCAGAATTGTAGCATTCAACATCTCTATACCTCTCTCGCACTCTAAATCAACAAGAAAAGATATCTCATTTCTCCAAGGTTTGGGCTTTGTTCAGTGAGAAAATGAGTTTTTTGCAATATCAATAAATAAAATCAATCATTCATCTAAAAAAATGGAATAAATCTCGTAAAAACACACCCAAAATCATCCAAAAAGACAAAAAATGACCTTGGGGAGTGAAGTCCTTACAACAAACAAGTCACGTAATTTTTATACAAACGTAGCCCCTAATAATCGATTAAAGGGACTCTATAATCAATTACGAAGGCATAACTTGGGCAAAAATGGTCATAAACTTCACCTACCTGGGTTCAAAAACATATATGGACTTTGACCTTGCTGACTATTTTAATCATAACTTTTCCCAGAGACCTCCAAATGATGTGATTCTTTTTTTATTAAAAAATAAACTCAAAAAGCTTTCCTATGACTACTAATTTGTAATTTTTGGACATCTTAGTAGGTACAGTTAATTCCTAAATGTTAAATTTTTATAAATTCCTATCACCTCTGACCTTTGTTGATTGTTTCGCTTTTAACTTTCTCCACCGAACTCCAAATGAGTTGATTCCTTTTTTATTAGAAAATACACTCAAAAATATTTCTAGCGACTACTAATTTGTAATTTTCCCATCTAAAATAAGAAACATGAAACAATAACTTGAAAGTAAACTCATTTAAGAAGCTTAGAAAAACATTGTTTTTGCACCCATGACCATTAAACTCACTCACACATCTAAAATAAGAAACATGAAACAATAACTTGAAAGTAAACTCATTTAGGAAGCTTAGAAAAACGTTGTTTTCGGGAAATTAAGTACATATAGTACAATGGTCTAAAAATTATGGGTTGGTAATCATTTGAAATCTCTTTGAGTATAGATTCCAACAAAAAAAGAATCAACTCATTTGCAGTTCGGTGAAGAAAGTTAAGAGCAAAACAAGCAGTAAAGGTCAAAGTTTGCAGGAATATATAAAGTGCTAACTTTAAGGAATAAACTGTACAACCTCAGATGTCCAAAAATTACAAATTAGTAGTCACTAAAAAGCTTTTTGAGTCTAGTTTCTAATAAATAAAGAATCGCATCATTTGAAGGTCGGTGGGAAAAGTTATCATTAAAATAACCAACAAAGGTCAAAGTTAACAACATGTTATCTCACTCAAATTGCCTTTGGCTACTTATGTGCGCACAACTGGCTCTTGCAGCACAAGTTTTTGTACAAAACTAGATTTTTGTTCGTGTAATTGTTTACAAGGCTCTTGTAATTGATTACAAGGCACAAAATGGCCTGCACTTGTTTCAACACTTGAACCAACTTGGTCTTGACACCAACATTGGGTCTTTCCTTCACCATGGACTGTCCAAACCTCAGTTTCCTCCCTCTACTCACACTTAAACACTAAAACCAACTCTCATCCACTGAAGAAATATAAAAAAATAACGTAATATGTCTTTGGCTACCTGTGTGTCCACAGCTGGCTCCTACAACACATGTTTTTGTACAAAACCACAATTTTGTTCGTGAAATCGTTTACAAGCTCATTGTAATTGATTACAATGGCCAAAGTGGCCTCCACTTGATTACCAAGGCAAAATTTGAAAGTTCTTTGAGTCTAGCTTCCAACAAAACAAGAATCAACTCATTTGGAGTTCAGTGGAGAAAGTTATGAGCAAAATAACCAGCAAAGGTGAGAGTTGGCAAAAATATATAAAGCGTTAACTTTAAAAAATAAACTGTACCTTCTCAAATGTCCAACAATTACAAATTAGTAGTCATTGAAAAGCTTTTTGAGTCTACTTTCTAATAAAAAAGAATCACATCATTTGGAGGTTGGTGGGAAAAATTATTATTAAAATAGCTAGCAAAGGTCAAAGTTGACAACATGTTAACTTGGTCATGACACCAACATTGGGTCTTTCCTCCACCAAGAATTGCCCAAAACCCAGTTTTCAGACTCTACTCACAGTTAAACATTAAAAATAACTCTCAATAATTCAAGAAATATGAAAAAACAACATAAAATGTCTTTGGCTACTTATGTGCCCACAGTTGGCTCCTGCAGCACAAGTTTTTGTACAAAACCAGATTTTTATTTGTGTAATCGTTTAGATGGTTCTTGTAATCGATTACAATGGCAAAAAAGGCCTAAACTTGATTACCAAGGCAAAATTTGAAAGGTCTTTGAGTCTAGATTCCAACAAAATAAGAATCAACTCATTTGGAGTTCGGTGGAGAAAGTTATTAGCAAAACAACCAACAAAGGTCAGAGTTGGCAGAAATATATAAAGCAGTAACTTTAAGGAATAGACTGTACCTACTCACATGTCCAAAATTTACAATTTGTAGTCATTGGAAAGCTTTTTGAGTCTAGTTTCTAATAAAAAAAGAATCACATCATTTGGAGGTCGGTGAGAAAAGTTATCATTAAAATAGCTAACAAAGGTCAAAGTTGACAACATGCTAACTTGGTGATGACACCAACATTGGGTCTTGCCTCCACCAAGGACTGCCCAAAACCCAGTTTTTAGGCTCTACTCACACTTAAACATGAAAAAGAACTCTCATCCATTCAAGAAATATGAAAAAGTTAAGTAAAATGTCTTTGGCTACTTATGTGCCTCCTGCAGTTCACCTACCTTGGTTCAAAAACATATATGGGCTTTGATCTTTACTGACTATTTTAACCATAACTTTTCCCACAGACCTCCAAATGATGTGATTCTTTTTTATTAAAAAATAGACTCAAAAATATTTCCAATGACTACTTAATTGTAATTTGTGGACATCTCAGTAAGTACAGTTAATTCCTTAAAGTTAACGTTTTATATATTCCTACCACCTCTGACCTTTGCTGGTTGTTTTGCTTTTAACTTTCTCCACCGAACTCCAAATGGGTTGATTCTTTTTTTATTAGAAAATAGACTCAAAACTCTTTCCAAATACTACTAATTTGTAATTTTCCCATCTAAACTAAGAAATATGAAACAAAAAGTAAACTCATTTAGGAAGCTTAGAAAAACATTGTTTTTGCGAAATTAACTGCATCTAGTACAATGGTCTAAAAATTATGGGTGGGTAATCATTTGAAAGCTCTTTGAGTCTATATTCCAACAAAAAAAAGAATCAACTTATTTGGAGTTCGGTGGAGAAAGTTAAGAGCAAAACAACCAACAAAGGTCAGAGTTGGCAGGAATATATAAAGAGATAACTTTAAGGAATAAAATGTACCAACTCAGATGTCCAAAAATTACAAATTAGTAGTCATTGGAAAGCTTTTTGAGTTTAGTTTCTAATAAAAAGAGAATCGCATCATTTGAAAGTCGGTGGGAAAAGTTATCATTAAAATAGCCAGCAAAGGTCAAAGTTGACAACATGTTATCTCACTCAAATTGCCTTTGGCTACTTATGTGCGCACAACTGGCTCCTACAGCACAAGTTTTTGTACAAAACTAGATTTTTGTTTGTGTAATTGTTTAGAAAGCTCTTGTAATCGATTACAAGGCACAAAATGGCCTGTACTTGTTTCAGAACTAGAACCAACTTGGTCTTGACACCAACATTGGGTCTTTCCTTCACCATGGACTGCCCAAACCTCAGTTTCCTCCCTCTACTCACACTTAAACACTAAAAACAACTCTCATCCACTGAAGAAATATGAAAAAATAACGTAAAATGTCTTTGACTACCTGTGTGCCCACAACTGGCTTCTATAGCACAGGTTTTTGTACAAAACCACAATTTTGTTCGTGTAATCGTTTACAAGCTCATTGTAATCGATTACAAGAGATAAAATAGGCTACGTATGCCATAGATGCAATGAAAATTGGTGATATCATTATTCACGGATGGTACTCAATCGCATTGGCCACTTTGTTTATTCACATCCCAAACAACAACACATTTGACAATGACAATAACAAAGACATTAAAACTTCAATTAACATTAACAATAACCAACTGAAGTAAAGTTTCATCTTTTATTTCATTAAAAAAATTGGGTACAATAAACTTATTTGTTCATCTATGTACAATTTTGTATTCCTTTCCATAACAATTCAATACAAAAATCACTCGTGTTTCGCTCTATTTCCTGTGTATGGGGTTCTAAGCACCTTGCTCTTGTAATGGTTTCGTGATTCGGCCCTCACAAACCTCTACACACCAGGTTGGTTGTTGTACATGTCTCTCGGGCTTACAAAGGCAGTGTTCATGTCGGATTCTGCAAGAGGCATACTTTGTACATTTCTCCTTTTATTCTTCTCTTCAAATCATAAACATACTTTGTTGAAAAGGAATGACAAACGCACAACTGCATCGAAGAGACTAAAATAAGAAAAGGCCAAATCCCAAAAATGAAAACAAAAAAAATTAATCACAACAACGAAAACCCAATGCCGAACCCAAAACGCAATGAAGAAAATGGATAAACTCATTTACCTTGCTCTAATCACCATGGTCACCAGAGAATGTCATTCCGCACAAT